CCTCCTCGGCGACCTTGCCCTCGATTTTGAGCAAATCGTGATGCGTGGCGATCTCCGCCATGCTCTCCGCGATGTCCGCCTCCAGCTGCTGCTTGCGGCCTTGGACATCAAAGAGCTCCTCCTCACGCAGCGCGAGGGCCCGCCGGGCGCGTTTGAGCTGAAGCTGCAACGTATCGGAGTTGATCAGGGCGTCCTCCAGCTGCTTCTCTAGGCTTTTCGATTCATGCTCGCAGTGGCCGCACTCCAGCTCGTACTGCGTGACCTTCTCACTCACCAGGTTCTTCTCCTTGAGGAGTTTCTCCGCGGCGAGGTGGGACTGCCGCAGCTCCTCCCGGACCCGTTTCACCTGCACATCCAACACGCGATGCTGCTGATCGAGCTCGTCGAGGGTGGACTGAAGGAGGGCGATCTTCTCCTCCAGCTCGCGGCGCTCCTCGTCGGTGTGCTCGCCCTTCGCGCGCTGGACCTTTTTCTCCATCTGCTGCACGTTGAACTCGATCCCGTAGAGAATCGTCTGCTGCGAAAAGGCCTCGTTGTCGAGCTGGTTCATCCGGTAATTAAGATTCTTCCCCTGTAACTGCGCGCCGGACATCTCCGCGAGCGTGTTGTTCTGCTTCTCGCGCGCGACGTGGAGCTCCTGGTTGGCCTTGAACAGCGCCCGCTTGAGGGTTTCGATGTCTTTGTTGATGTTCTCGTTCGTCTTTTGGGCGTCCTTCAGGAGGCCGTTGATGAGCTCGGACTGCTGGTGGATATCCGCGGCGGCCGCCATCTCCTCCTGAAGTCGCCGCGCGGTCGCCTCGCGACGCGTCTGGGCGGCCTCCAACCCCGCCGTTTTGTGCTGCACCGCCTCCACGGTTTTCTGCAGGTTCGCCTTGACGTCGTTGCGCTGCTTCACGCCGTGGAGGGCCTGCGCGCGGATCGCGTCGAGCTCATCCACCAGCTCCTCCACCTGCTGCGCGAGGCGCGGCATGGCATCGCGGAGCTGCTGCGCCTTCCGCTCCCGCTCCTGGATCGCGTAGTTCAGCGAGGCCGTCTCCTCCTTCGCCGCGTCGAGCTGCTCGGAGAGCTCCTTCTTCACGGCGTTCCGCCGGAGCAGCCAATCGGCGCCCTCCGCGTACTGCTCCGCCGCGGTCCGGATCGCGTCATCCCGCTCCGCGATCGCGCGAATCACCCGCTCCCACTCCGCCAACATCCCACTCCGGTCATCGTGGAGTTTGCGATAATCCGCCGCGCAGTTATCCAACTCCCTCTGAACAGTCTGCGCGATCAACACCTCGTCGGCGAGCTGCTGCCGCTTTGCCCGGACCTCCCCTTCAAGCTTCTCCGCCCGCTGGTTGAGCTGGCGTATTTTGGTCTCATCCTGCTTCGTGTATTGCGCAACCGCGAGTTCGTCCTCCTCTTTTTGCCGACGCGCCTCATACCACTGCTCCAACTCTTCCTGGTTGAAGCTCGCCGCCTCGCGGAGCTCCTCAACACGCAAATTCTTCTGAAAGACAAGGTTTTGAATCGACATAATCCGATCCTGAAACTTCTCCTCCTCCTGCTCAAGCTGCCGCCGTCGCTGCTCCAGGCGAGAGCACTCGCGCGTAATAATGTGGCAGACATTCGTCTCCGATTCGATTTCTCGACGCTTTGACTCCGTGAGGCTTTGCGTGTTCACAACCTCCGCCCCAACATTCGAGAGGTGTTCTTTCATGAATTGCAGCCGCTTGCGCTGCTCCTCAATACTCTGGAGTTTTTCCTGTAGCTGGTTCTCGCATCGCGATAGCTGGGCAGTAAGTTCCTTGTTGGTTTTATTCAGCAGCTCCAGGGGCAGGGCCTCGGCGGTGGCCTCAATCACCTCCATGTGACGATCGCTACTCATCAGGATGAAAAAAAATAAAAAAGTTGCTCCACTTCTAGATATAAACGAATATGAAAGCAAAAAGCCCCTAGAATGGGCTTCCCTCGCACAAGAAGAATGCAAAGGGGAGCAAGAAAAAGAGTCAGGTGATATCCCATGAAGTCGAGGAAAACAATATCAACGTTTGTATTCGATAGACGTAAATAGGCGCGAAAATGCTTTGGAAAGGTATTCATAAGTTGTCGTCATATTGACTAATTCTATAAGCTCAAAAATAAGCACTGCCTACTAATGTGATTAGACCAAACAATTATTGGTGATATTTTTTTAGCTTTGCAGGATACCACTACTGCATCTCATGTGTGATTATTACCTTCGGCGCAAAGACCGGAAAAATATTACAATTAAAGGCTTAAAAGCCACCACGTCTTCTTTTAACACACCGAATTCCCTCCTCACTAATCACGAAGCCTTCGGTGGACTAAAATGCAAAAAAAAAATGTCGAGGTCATTTCCGTTGTGTTCAACCTCGTCCGCCGTCATGTGGTCCACATTTCAAAGAAATGAAGCCTGCGTCGCGATGATCTCGTGCTGCGTCTCCGAAAGCCGCTTCAGGCCGTGCTCGGATGGCCGCTGCGCGAGCTCATCGTCAAACATCTCCGTATGCCCCCACGTCAGGTGGAGAAGCTGAAAGATATTTCAGGGCATGCGGCAGAACTCAAGCACGACGTCGCCGGCAATCCCATCCACCTCCACGAAGCGCTCCCCCGCCCGCAGTAAATCACCTTGAAGACGTGGAAAGTGTTGTCGGGATCGCTGAAGGTTGCGTAGTACAGCCGCATGGAGAAGAGGAGCAACGACATCCGAAACTGCCTCGGCAAGGTGATCACCGTCAAGAAGGTCCTCAACGTGGATCCTCTGCTGCCATACCCTTTTATGAGTCCTCTGTTACACCTCGAGAAGGCCGATCCTTTTGGCTGTTTCACCTTCTGCACAAGCTAACGGAGCACGTTTCCTGGATTACTCCCAAATCATCTCCTTCATCGAAAAAGGTCGCGTAGAGTGCAGTGGCTTGCGTGGCCTTCGAATCAAATCATCAAAGCATTCTACTGCAGGTCCATGGTCCTCCTTGGAAAGCCAAAAATGAGTATTCACAAACTTTAATTCTCCGCCTCCATGACTTTATATCAGATGGTAGAATCATCAGGAAAAAATAGCCGGTTTGACTGATTAAGCTACCACAGAAAAGTGTTTTATCTCAGACCCTACCCTTCCGATCCAAACTCCTCTCAATAAAATGGACTCTCCGAATTTATTAAAGAATCCAAAGTGCCTTGATTGACCCCCAAAATAACTAGAGGTCCTATTAAGTCCTTTCTGGATCGTATAGCGAGACGAAGTGAAAAAATGTATGCCGCAACGACATCGCGATTCACCAATCTATTAATGTGAACAAGAAAAATAAACCTCGAAGTTAGGTAATGAAAACGCAAAGAAGTAAAATATGCCTATCGATCGACATGTGAGATAGATACCCCGCTATTTGACTCCTCCTGTAGGCCACAGGATGCCGCGTATACGACTATGAAGGCTCGCAGGTATCGCCCCTGTATCATGGCAGAAGCTCTCCAAAAGGGGTTCGATATCCGCTGGTGTAAAAAGGCCATAGAATACCCCGCCAAAGCGACTGAAGACTAACACGTTAGCGGCGTATACATGACCTCCCACGTGTGAGCACGCATGGACGTGGACTCGTTCCCCCTGCTTCATGGTCTCGACTGCTTGTTGAAAAAGATCCACAAGCACAGGCCCACAATAACCGCAGCGGGCATCTCGGAGTCCATGCGCACAAACGAAAATAAGATACTCCGATGATCGATCCCGCTTTGGCGCCGTCGCCTTAATCGATTCCCACGACATCTCACCCAGGGGCTCTCCCAAGGAGTACTCCGTAAGACTGCCCGATAAAGCCTCGGATGGACGCGGTGGCAGGAAATGCAGGAGGGTGTGCAGATAGCCCTCCTTGCTCGGTTGGTCTGAGTGAAAGAGCGTGCAGCCGACGGGATGCGGCACCCCCCGCGGTAAAGTCTGCATGAAGGGGTGCAAACTCGGGATATTTTCTAAATGAGGCGACCACTCCTTGGGTTGAAGGCCAGTCGAGATAAAAAAATGCTCCGTGATCTTCGCGCTGCCAGAAAGCCCTTTGGGCAGGTCGCCACAGCAAATTGGCCGGCAAAAGCCATGCACAGCCGCATCCCAACCTGCGATATCCGCCAAGGTCTGTGGCTTGAGTCTACTCCTGAAGGCCTCGGCATAAAAAGACTTCATGGATCGCCTCCTTTGAGTGAACTTCAGGTTAAACCAATTGTCGGACTCCCCTCCCCTTCCCCTCGGGCCTTCGTTCTTGTTTAAACGTCTATTCTTAGATGAGTCCAGAGAAGTCTGGAAAAGGAGGAAGAGAACTCAAGAAGAATGTACTTGAAAGTGCCGACAGGGAAATTTCAAGCAACCTATTAGTATGAAACTATACTCAACAAATTACGCAGATTAGCAAAGGAGCAAACTGCTCTAGGCACGCCATCGGCTTGTGTCTAACACGCAAATGAAGAGCATTCGACGCACGTTCAACCGCAACGACGCTAGCAAGCCAACGCATATTACGTATCCCTCAAAGAAACATGCCCTTCCACACATAACGAATCGAGGCGCTGGGCCACTCATCGCGGTACAGTCCTGCGAGGGGATCCTATCCCAGCTGAATGACTTCAGATAAGAACCTGTGAAGGGGGGAGGAGGTTCGCTACGGATTTACTTAGTGTAAAATACTTATTTTTTTTTTTTTGCAGGGTATGAATCGAATTACTGAAATAAAACAATAAAAACACGTGATACTCTTTTCCTTTAAGATCGATGTCATTGAAAGAGGTATTTTTTTTTTGAATTTAACGTGCGGAGCGTTTCAAAAAGAGCTAATTTTGCCGGAGTGTCGGTTTGCTTGTGCTAGAGCCTTCTGGCTCTTGGTAAAGCACATAGCAAACCACAAAATAAGCGACACATATCCACAGCAATCGATAACGAACGATACACCAGGAGATCGCGAGCCGAGTAAGGCGGTTGGCCGCGGTTACATCGTCTTCGGCAAGCGCTCGGCCCATGGGATGGTGAAAATTAAAACGCCGAAGCAAATACAACCCGCGCGTGGACATCCTCGACAAGGGTAGCTCATACAAATATCGCCGTACCGCTCGACGAAAGTTCTCGCAAGAACGGAAGAAAATCCCGCGGTTTCGGATTGGCGATAGGATGGCGTGAGAGCGATACTCATAGAACACATGAAGCCGCAATCTCGACACTCGTGTGGGGTAGCGTTGCTTTGGGTTGGAATTCGGCCCAGGTCGGCTCGAACCCACGCCTGGATCCTCGGCCTTTCCAAATTGGCCGGTTAAAGACTCGTACGCGTGGCGTAACTCCTTGAAATGCTCCGGATCCCCTCCCACATCTGGATGCAGCGTCATCGCACGAGCCCGGAAGGCATCTCGTATCTCATTTTCGCTATACCGCACCGCGGGGTTTAGCCCCAGCGTCTCGAGAGGCTGCTTTAACACTGATAACGTGCGTCGCATTCCTTCATTTCGTAAAGAAAAAGCAACAGGAACCACAAAGGGCTATCTGATCTCGCTCTATCTACAAAGCCAAAACGTACATACAAATATATTTGGCTCAGTTCAGGGAAAGGTAGCTCGTGAACTCAGATGGACACACATTCAAAGAAGAATATATCTCAAGAATTCATAGGAAATTCGAATTCGTTGCTTTACAAATTACAAGCCCTCAAAATTCGAGAACGAAGCAACGGAAGTAGCACTTTTCCCATAGTTCAAACCCTCTCTGGAGGATGGGCGCATTGTTGTTGTTATTTTTGCTTTCTAAGACTATGTCTATCAGAGTTAAGAAAGTAACTTGTGCTGCATGGTTTACATCAAATTAAATGCACATGAACCGTCAAAAAGTGTTTTGGGGTGCCTTGGCAACCCCATCGAGACACTCGTCAGACCGGCTGATGTCTTCCTCCATGAGAACCCTATCCTCAAAGTATGACAGCACCGTTCGTGGAGCGAGTTGGAATAGGCAAGACTCGACCTCCAGCCATTGAACCATTTCAAACAGCGATATTGAAATGAATCAAGGACTCCATATGTAACGCTGCCTCAATACTGTGTTTTCGTGAACATCACTAGGGTGTCCTCGAGAGGGAGGGAGGGAGTATGAAAGCGTTTCACCCACCATAGACCTCCGTTTCATCATCAAACGGACCCGGTTTTAGAGCCCCTCACGGATTCGACTCTGGCAAGTCTTCCAACCGCCGCACCTTCAAAGCCCCTCGGCCATCATGTTTGTACAGCTCCTCCAGCACATCCACGACCTTCGCAAAATACCCCCGTCGGTCGATATCCCCGACGTGGTCGATGAACTCCCCCACCGTTGGATACATCAGCCGCACCATTTTAACCTCCGGCCGAAGGTAATTATGGCCGTGAAAGTGAATCCGGTAGTGCGCGTTCTTGCTCGCCTCATCGCGAAGTGGAGCCCCACAGTGGGCGCAGCGCAGACGCGACGCGAGGCTCCGTCGATGTGGGTTGATTGACGCCAAAAAGCTGCGAATTTTCTTCTCCACCCCCGCGGGATCCCCGCTGGCGGGAGCGAGGCTGGTCGATGCGGAAGAAATCGCGGGTGCCGGCGAGGCGCCGTCAAGAACCAACCGCAATCCGTCCTGCAAAGCGGTGGAGCGGGCAGCGCTCGGACCCGTCTGCGCGGCCTCTCGCCGAACTTTTAGGCAATGGCGAATGTGCTCCTCCAACCGCCGATTCGTTTCCGGCTCCACCCCACTTGCCGTCCAAGAGCGCAGAAAATCTAAAAAAAGAAGCCTAAACTCGTCCGTCGCGCTCTCCATCCATGGACTGCGGGGATAATCCTGCAGGATCGGGAACGTCTCCACCACGAGATGCGGCAACGCCTTCTCGATGGTCTGCTTAACGGCCTGTTTGGGGCTGCGAACGTGTTTGAGTACGGCATCCACCACGCAAAAGGCTAAATACACATCCTGAACCGCGGCATGGGATCCGTAGGTCCGCTCGCGGGCGCGAAAACCATCCAATTCGACTCTCTCATCCGTCTTCCACCCGTCCGCCAAATCACGCGCGACGTCTTGCAAGCGGTCAACCGTCGTTTTGAGGTGATTTTGGATGACCAACCACGCCTCTAACGCCCATTCGCTGTGTTCATTCAACGACCAAACGATACCATCCAGTAAGTACTGGGTGTGAGGGATCATGGACGGCAGGCTAATCAGTGGGTAACTGCGTGCTGCTGCGACGTAGGGCGGTGTGTGGAGCCGCCCCGATAAAAAGAACTGGAAATCCAATAACCACTGTTCCTTTACGCGCTCCTTTTCATTCATGCTTGTTAACACTCCTAATATCAATCAAAAAGAATACAAGATCCTTGGAGAAGTCCTTGAGGGAAGGAAAGAAAGTCATAATAAAAAGCAAACAAAAAAAGAGAAAAACGATACATCCGTAGCACGACAAATTCGCAAGTATAGATATATTTAGATATATATATATATATATAGAAGAAACAGAATTACATTAACAATGACCGCGATATAAAGCACCCTTCCTTTTCCATTTCAAACTGGTAACTCAAAATTATCTTTTTTAGATATATCGAGGGAAAAGGATAAGCAGTGTTGTGACCGATAAGCAAAACATTTATTGCATGAAGAACAGAAAAAGGGATGCTAAAGGTGGTCCTTTCGAAACAAGTCAATAAAACGCTACATCCTCACACACACCCATATGGAACATGCCTAGGCTGTTCTGAATTCGAACGTGGCCTGGTATGGAAACGCCTTACATTCACACTAATTACATCATTTCGGCGAATGTCCTCACGCGAACCGCAACGTCGGTCACTTCGATGGGCAGGTCTAGTCGGGAGAAAGGGTGAAGAGCTGGGGGTCGCTATCTTGAAACACCCCTCCAAGGCGCTGCGCGACGATCTCCTTCAGCTCTCGATTCTCCTGACAGAGCTTGTTAATGATGACATCCCGCTCATCCAGCATCTGCTGGATGTCGCGGCTGATATCGCGCTGGAGCTGCCGCATCACGCGCCGTTTGATGCGGTTTTCCATCTCCTTCAGCTCCGCCTCGGCGGCGTAGCGCG